GTTTAGTTGATGGTTGCGATAGCGCGTCTATGTTGCAACAAGTATGTTTTGTTGTATGTAATAGTAGCTTGCGTTGCAAAAGGGTTGTACATATAGTAACGAAAAACTAAATCATTGCAACAGCTAAGGTTGTACGGTTAGTAAAAATATGGGGGAAAAACTACAAAAAAGTGACGCAAGTGGGACACGAACCTAAGACCTTCTCATCTTGATATTGAGAGAGCAAAATTACCACTATGTTATGTTCATTTTTATGTTGGTCTAGGCATAATAAACTTTGTGTATTATAACTTAACCGTTAATACAATAGAGAAATGATAAAAAAAATAGACAAAAAAACTAATTCTAGGATTTGAACGTAAGAGCAGCCCCGTTAAGACCAAGGGCGCCCACCACTTGACTACGAAGGTGTAAATATTAGTTTTGGCATAGCAAACAATTTCTACAGTAAGTTAACATGGAATTCAATAATATAATCATAATAAATATGTATTTTTGTTAGAGAACTAGCGAAGCTTCCTGACAACATATTTTTGGTGCATCATCATTCCAAAAGATTCAAATAATTTTAGCAAAACAGTACTACACGTTCACAAACGGATATATCTCTCACATAGTTATATGTAAGTCTATGAGAGATGTTTCTATTTTTGAACAATGTATAATCCCACTTTATTAAAACAAATTGAAATTTCTCTGAAGAGTTTGTGAGAGCCATCAAGAAGAAGCCGACGAGTTCATTGTCTCGCCATAAAGCCTTGGAGCCGCCCTGTGCCTACTCTGGAGGATGGTAACCGGAGATCGAGCTTGCGTCGTGATGATGTGTTGAGCCGCCAACGACAAGAGGACACTAACGTCCCTGCTGAGATGTAAGCACCCTGGCCGTTGTCAGCCCAAATCCTGTATTTGATGCGAAGGGAAAATAAAAAAATGAAGTTGAGCCAATTATAAATTGAACCCAAGACTCCAAACAAGAGAACCGTTGTATCATGTATTTGGGTTGTAGGGAAAAAATGCGAAAGGAAAAAAATAAAACAAATAGAGTCATTCAGGAATTGAACCAAGGGCTCACAGGATTAGGAAGCAACTTTTTTTGTTTACTTGATGCTTGTATAAATAAAACAAGAAAACCCCAAAGTGGTGGGTGTATTGAACCTAGGTGCTCGAGAACAAACTGAGCATGCCTTACCACTAAACCATGTACTCTTTGATATTAGAACTAGGAACTAAATTTTCTTGTAACCATAATGTTTGTTGCTGGTGTTGCATGTCCACGTCAACAATTTTGTCATCAGCAATATAGGACATAGTTGTTGCTAGTTAGGAACAAGACTTGCCAATGCAATTGTGAAAAACTTAATTTGCTAATATCCTAATCTATTCTTTTGATGAGTAGGTGGAAAAACCTTTGAGTGGGAGGCTCAGAATCAAGCAAAACATAGCCGAGGTCAGGGCATGTTTGACTGCTAGGAGGTCTTCATGTGCTTCATAGATGTTAGGAGTAGTGAAATTCTGAGTGTACCATACACTCGGTTGTGATTTAGACACTACACTACTTATTGAATGATTGGTTATAATTAATATATGGGAGTGCAATCGATACTATTATTGTCTATTGTTTTTGAAACAACGATTTATTAAACCACAAATCAGATGCTACCAACATTGCAACAAAAAACATGTTGTGATAAACTCTAATGCAACAACTGTGTTATGTTGCTATTACCCTTATTGCCACGGAAATGTTTTCGTGACAAGAAATCCTACTGCAACGCAAATCATTTGCGTGGCAATATAAACTATGCCAATGAACTACTTTGCGTGGCAATATGATCGATGGCAACGAAATCATTTGTGTGGCAATATGATCTATGGCAATGTATAAAATTGCATGGTAAATAGTACTAATGCCATCACATGACTGCCATGACAATAACATCTTTGGCAACAAAATCATGGTGTGGCAATACAAACTACTGCCACGATGTTGTTCGTGGCAAATGTATCTATAGCCACGCTACTGATCGTTGCATGTACCACCTTGCTACGAAGGCAGGCGTGGCAATTCCTTATATTGCCACGGCAGTGAACGTCGCAATAGCATCCTAATGCCATGCTTGGCAACGAACAGCTATGGTTGCAATAAACCCCAACAATTGCAATGCCAAATTACTAACGGTTGCAATACCTTATTGCAAATGCTTATTGCATCCATTAGTAACGAATGTGATTTGGTTGCAACACGTACCTTTCGCAACCAAATTGGGCATATTGCAACGTTTTCTCGTCGTTGTGCAAGGGTTAGAATTTAGTAGTGAAGAACCCCATGGACTCATCCACTGATCCGTGCCGTCTCCAAACTGCTGAGCTTGTCTAGGGTTTTCTGCATCATCTCTTGGAATCCTTCGAACTTCTTGGCCAAATCTTTGATGTTGGCCGCCACCTGTTGCTCAAGCTTGCTGGGTTTCCTTTCGGGCGCCAAGATGCACAATAGAGCCAGAAAAATTTGGGGATGCCCATGGATCAAAGCTCTCGATACCAAATGTCATGGACAAGAGAGGCTGAGGAAGAAATGGAACAGGATAGTTGAAGGTACACGAAGAACAGAGGATAGTTGAAACTCATTTGTTAGTGTCATATCATATCGATTTCTTTGTTGCTCTCCCTAGCTGCTTGTTGCAAACTGTTTTCAAATATAATCCATCCGTTTGCCAAGATTACCGACAAATTTACAGTTTTTCTTCTCTAAATCGCTGATGCAAACTGCCTTGTTCTATCTCAAACTTATCACAATATGTTTTTCTTTGCTTGTCAGAGACCAGAGCGGATCACTATTATGTTTGCAACTCCTGTGTTTATGGTTTACCTATCGATCTCCTTTCATTGTGCCACACGTCTGGCCATGTTGTGTAGTATCTCCTCTGTTCTAAATTATAAGTAGTTCTAGGTATTTTAGATACATAGTAAAAGATATGTACCTAATTATAAGTACTTCTAGCTATTTTACATACATAGTAAAAGATATATACCTAAAAAGCTCGAACGATTTATAATTTGAAATGGAGGAGCAGAATGTTTCTTCTTAGTTGGCCTTTCCCGTTTGTGAGGCCATTCATACCGGCCGTACGTCATTGTTGTCTCTGGGTTGTTTCTTCTTACTCGCTAAATATGCGCCAATGATCGGTTGCATCTGACGTACGCAAGTATACAGCCATACAGGCATGGCCCACTACTCTAGTTGCACTCTAGCTTGCGTGCACTATGGTACTGTTTGCTGAGCCTAAAACCTAGTTTGCTGCCCGGCCTGTGCACACGACCACACGCATGCATGCATACAGATGCGCTTTCCAGGATTCCGGGAGCCGGTAGAGAATCTCTCTACCAAACGGCTCCTACAAACCTTAGCTACTGTCTTGCCACACCACGCACACATGCACCCCGGACGGCCAGACCCAGGTGTGCCGTGGAAATGCATGCATGTTCACTGGCCGGACACCGGCGCGGGCCGCGCCGCGCACTTAGCTTGATTGCCATGCATGGACGCGCGTGGCCTGATGCTGATGGCGAGCTGCTGAGTGCTGATGCGCCCGCGGAAGCGGCCGGCCTAGCTAGCTGCTCACGAGCCAGTGACGCCGAGAGGTTCTCCATCGATCGATCGATCCGCGCGCGCGGCTCTAGCTGTGCGAGTGCGACCACGACGGGGAGCCGAGAGCCAATAGCGGTGGCGGGCGGCCTAGCAGCCTAGCCGGCCGGCCGGGAAGCTTTATTAGTTTGCCCGCCATGCACATGATGGGATCGAGAGACAGCAAGAATCGATTCTTTCGTGCCCGCGTTTCCGTCGACGGAATGTATGGGCATGTTTGGTAGAGCTCCATGCGAAGACACGGCTTCGCTTATGATTTTGCATTTGGCACAACGTAACTGAAGGATCGGATTCCAATTTCCAAATGCTAGCTTCTGCGTCTGTCAAAAATTATGATTGCGTCTCAGTCGACAAGCCGTGTCTGTTATAAACGATAGGCAATATAAACGATGAAGAATAGTAAATCAAACACAGGGGATACGAGATTTTAACGTGAAAAACCCTTCTAAGGTGAAAAGGAAAAACCATGGGCACCAGCCAGTAAATCTTCACTATATCGGGTGATGTTACAAACGTCGGAGATTTATAATTTAGGGATACCCTAATCTGAGAGCCTTCCCGTATATAAGTCTATGATACATCTTTTCCATGAGTGAGGTGGTCCGTATATATGGGGAGGAAAAACCCCACACCCTCGTCTATTAGCAATACGGAACTAATAGATGGTGTAGTCCCTCTTAACGCTAATGAGCCGCTTCGCTTCGGCCCAAGCTTGAATTTGGATCATAACTCAACAAACTACACCTTGAGACAAATTCCTTCTTATAGCATAAAATGAACCTTCACCCTGAAACAACAAAGAAATACTTCCGGTGTCAAATAGTCTCTTGGGCTAAACAGTTATACCAACTAAGCTTGAGCAAAGCTCAAACTTAGCAACAGGAACTGGCTTTGTCAACATATCAGCAGGATTATCATATGTGCTTATCTTGCATACTTTCAGCTTACCTTGCGCAACCACATCGCGAACATAATGGTATTTGACATCAATGTGCTTCGTTTTCTCATGGAGCATCTGATCTTTAGTGAGAGATATAGCACTTTGACTGTTACAAAATAAATTAATGAAAGAATCATCTCTACAAAGCTCAGCAAATAAACCTTTCAACCAAACTGATTCTTTACATGTTTCAGCAATAGCCATGTATTCTACTTCAGTGGTAGACAGGGCAACAATGGGCTGCAATGTTGCCCTCCAACTCACAACACAACCACCAATAGTGAACATATAACCTGTAAGAGATCTCCTCTTATCCAAATCAGCAGCAAAATCTGAATCCACATAGCCAATGAGTCCCTTATCAGTCCTGCCAAACTTCAAACAAGCATTTGTTGTGCCACAAAGGTACCTAAAAATCTACTGAATAGCCTTCCAATGTTCTTTACTAGGATTAGTCATGTATCTACTAACTAAACTCATAGCATATAATAAATCAGGACGAGAGCAAACCATGGCATACATCAAAGAACCAACAACACTAGAATATGGAACTCTTGACATGTACTCAAAATCCTCATCCGTACTAGCACATTGTAAAGCTGATAATTTGAAACGAGGAGCAATAGGAGTACTAACAGACTTTGCATCATGCATATTGAAACGATGAAGAACTTTCTTAATGTAACTTTGCTGACTAAGAAATAACAAACCAGAATTTCTGTCTCTTGTAATTTCCATACCTAGAATCTTCTTAGCAGCACCAAGATCCTTCATCTCAAACTCACTACTCAACAATTTCTTTAACGTAGTGATTTCTTTCTTACTCTTGGCAGCAATCAACATATCATCAACATATAACAACAAATATATAGGTGATCCATCAACAAATTTAATGTACACACAGCTATCAAATTTAGATCTCTTAAAACCATGTGACATCATAAAAGAATCAATCCTTTTATACCATTGACGAGAAGACTGTTTCAAACCATATAAGGACCTCTTTAATTTGCAAACATAATCCTTCTTACCAGGTATTATGAACCCTTCTAACTGGTCCATGTATATCTCCTCCTCGAGCTCTCCATGTAGAAATGCAGTCTTTACATCTAACTGCTCAAGCTCAAGATCTCGCATAGCAATAATACTGAAAAATGTACGAATTGAACTATACTTTTACAACGGGAGAGAACACATCATTATAATCAACGCTAAGAATCTGACTGAAACCTTTTGCTACTAACCTTGCCTTAAATCTTGGAGGCTCACTAGGAGACAAACCATCCTTTCTTTTGAAGATCCATTTGCAACGAACGGCCTTCTTGTGTTTAGGCAAGCGCACAACATCACATGTGCCATTTTTCTCAAGTGATTGCATCTCTTCTTGCATAGCGGAAATCCACTTCTCGCGGTCACCAGAAACAACAACTTCAGTGTACGTAGCCGGCTCATGAATGTTCTCAACCTGTTCAGCACAACTAAAGGCATAATAAACAATATCACATTTCTCAATTAAACGTGGACGAGGTCCACAACTCCTCTTTGTTCTGTGTTCTGCAATAGATTGATTTTGAGGCTGCAAAACAGGAGGTGAGTGCTGAACAATATCATGAACATTGTTATCAACAATTTCAGTTTCCTGATCATCTATGTGCTCCACCTGCACGCTAACATGTTCCTGCTCCTCATCAGAACCAACTGGTGAAACATCTATGGACAAGCTGTCATTAAACATAACAGATTCATTGAAAACAACGTTCCTGCTTATGAAAGTCTTTTTTAGTTTCAGGATTCCATAACTTATATCCTTTAACTCCAGAACCATAACCAAGAAACAGACAATTAATGGCTCTAGGTTCTAACTTTCCATTATCAACATGAGCATAAGCTGTGCAACCGAAAACTCTCAACTGTGAATAATCAGCAGGCATACCAGACCATACCTCAATGGGAGTTTTCTTATTAAGTGGGATAAAAGGTGACCGGTTGATCAAGTAACAGGCGGTGTTAGCAGCCTCAGCCCAAAAACGCCTGTTCATACGAGCATTGGACATCATGCAACGAGCCCTCGAGATGATGGTTCGGTTCATGCGCTCAGCCACACCATTCTACTGAGGAGTGTACGGGATGGTGTGGTGCCTGATAATGCCTTCTTCCCTGCAGTAATCATTAAAAGCATCCGAACATAATTCACCGCCATTGTCAGTACGAAGCAATTTTACCTTTTTCAGTTTGCCTTTCTATCATAACTTTTCACTCTTTAAAAACAGCAAAAGTATCATCTTTATTTTTCAGAAAGTAAGGCCACACTTTTCTAGAGTAATCATCAATAATGGTAAGCATGTAACGAGCACCACCATAAGAGGGCTTACGAGACGACCTCCACAAATCAGCATGTACATAATCAAGTGTACATTTGGTGGTATGAATAGATGCATTGAATTTTACCCTCTTGTGCTTACCAAAAACACAGTGCTCACAGAACTTCATCTTACCCACAGTGCAGCCATCCAGCAGGTCTCTCTTGATCAATTCTGCCATACCAAGTTCACTCATATGCCCAAGATGCATATGCCAGAGATTAGTTTTACTTGATTCATCATTAGAAACAGTAGCAGCAGTGACGGAACCATGTAAAGTACTTCTTCTAAGAACATATAACTTTGCAGAATTCATATCACCTATCATATGAATGAGAGAGCCTTTTGATACCTTACACACTCCACCTGAACCGGAGTGTCTGTACCCCTCGTCATCAAGTGTGCTGAGGGAGATGAGATTTCTGGGCATCCCTGGTATGTGTCTCATATCTTTCAGTGTGCGTATCATGCCATCATGCATCTTGATCTGAACAGAGCCAATGCCCACGATCTCACGTGGGTTGTTATCTCTCATACGCACGACATCTCCACTCTGCACAGACTTGTAAGAACTGAACCAATCTCTGTTAGAGCATATATGAAACGAGCATACAGAATCAAGTATCCATTCATCACGACCAGCAACACAACCAGCAAAAATAAACAGAACATCTCCTGAATCAGAATTATTAACAGCAGAGACAACAGAGGCCTTACCATCACCATCGGATTTATTTTTTGGTTTATACGTACCGTTTCTTTTCTCCTTATTCTGCAGCTTCCAACAATCCTCAATGACATGAGTATCTTTCTTACAATACCTATAGAACTTATCCCTGCCTCTGGACTTAGAACGGTCTTTACCGTTCTTGCTCTTATCTCGATTATTGTTGTTGTTGTAGGTTTTCTGCTCGGGCCTGCCTCTAACCTGCAACACTTCGCCCTTGGAGGACGACACATCAGACTGAACCATACCTTTCATCTTCTCCCTCGTCTGGAGGGCCTCATATACTTCCGCAAGGGTTAGTTCATCACGGCTTAATAGTATGGTATCTCGGAAATTTGCAAACAAAGTAGGCAGTGAGCATAACAGTAGAAGAGCTAAATCTTCATCATCATATTTTACCTCCATCGACACTAGGTCGGCAAAGATCTCCTTAAAGATCGATAAGTGGTTCATCACTGAACCAGCTTCTTGCAGCTTGTGCGTGAACAACTTCATCTTCACGTGCATCTTACTGGTTAGATCCTTGACATGCAGATCGATTCCAGCTTGAGCCAAAGTTCTGCGGCAGTTTTCACCTGCAGCACTTTTTGCAAAATATCATTATGTAGATGAAGTTGAATCAGAGACAGAGCCTTACGATCCTCCCGCTTCTCTTCAGCGGTCCATGACTTCTGCCCTTTTCCTCTGAAACCGTCCAGCGCCTCATCAAGATCCGAAGATTGTGCCAGAATCGCCCACATCTTGACTTGCCACAGTGTAAATCTCGTCTTGTAATCCAGCAGCGGTAGATCAAACTTCATTGATGCCATCGCGAAACCCTAAGGTCAAACCAAGCACTAGTACCACTTGTTATAAACGATAGGCAATATAAACAACGAAGAACAGTAGATCAAGCACAGGGGACACGAGATTTTAACGTGGAAAACCCTTCTAAGGTGGAAGGGAAAAACCACGGGCACCAGCCAGCAAATCTTTGCTATATCGGGTGATGTTACAAACGTCGGATATTTACAACTTGGGGATACCCTAACCTGGGGGGCTTCCCGTATAGAAGTTTATGATACATCTTTTCTATGAGAGAGGTGGTCCGTATATATAGGGAGAAAAAACCCCCACTCTCGTCTATTAGCAATACGAAATTAATAGATGGTGTAGTCCTTCTTCACGCTAATGGACCGCTTCGCTTCGGCCCGAGCTTGAATTTGGACGATAGCTCAACAGTGTCCAGGTGTGTCGATCGCGGACCAATAATGCTTCGGCCAGAGCTCCACCAGATTGATCCGGAGTTCTGGAACTTGAGCGCGTTCCAAAAGGCAAAACGCAAAAGCAAGAGCTAGTAGGTAGCAAGCCTTTGGTCTGGGAAGCTTTATTAGTTTGCCCGCCATGCATGATGGGATCGAGAGACAGCAAGAATCGACTCTTTCGTGCCCGCGTTTCGGTCGACGGAATGTATGGGCCTGTTTGGTAGAGCTCCGTGGCACAACGTTAGTGAAGGATCGGATTCCAATTTCCAAATGCTAGCTTCTGCGTCTGTCAAAAATTATGCTTGCGTCGCAGTCGACAAGCCGTGTCCAGGTGTGCCGATCGCGGACCAATAATGCTTCGGCCAGAGCTCCACCAGATTGATCCGGAGTTCTGGAACTTGAGCGCGTTCCAAAGGCAAAACGCAAAAGCAAGAGCTAGTAGGTAGCAAGCCTTTGGTCTGGGAAGCTTTATTAGTTTGCCTGCCATGCATGATGGGATCGAGAGACAGCAAGAATCGATTCTTTCGTGCCCGCGTTTCGGTCGACGGAATGTATGGGCCTGTTTGGTAGAGCTCCGTACGAAGACACGGCTTCGCTTATGATTTTGCATTTGGCACAACGTTAGTGAAGGATCGAATTCCAATTTCCAAATGCTAGCTTCTGCGTCTGTCAAAAATTATGCTTGCGTCGCAGTCGACAAGCCGTGTCCAGGTGTGTCGATCGCGGACCAATAATGCTTCGGCCAGAGCTCCACCAGATTGATCCGGAGTTCTGGAACTTGAGCGCGTTCCAAAAGGCAAAACGCAAAAGCAAGAGCTAGTAGGTAGCCAGCCTTTGGTCTGGAACCATCGGTCTCCGAGGAAAAGCTATTGGCCGGCCGGCGGGGCCTGGCCGGCGGCGTCGCGTCACCGTCGCGCTCAGGAAAACCGATCGAGCAGGAATGCAGGATGGTGATGGAGTGATGAGTAAGTACAAATGTGACAGGAGGGCGGCCGCTGCGAGTGAGTGAGTGGGTGCAGGTGCAGCAGCAGAGAAGAGACGATGCGCAACCACCATATGGCACGGATCATGATGATGGTCGGTGTCGCTACGTCGTCTCCTCCTTCCGCCATGCGGAACACATGCGTATATATGGACTGTATCATGCACGGGCCGCCAAGTTGCGGTCCCCTCGCTAGTAGAGTGAGTGATCGTCCATGTACGAATTGTGGTAGTAGGGAGGACGACGACGCAACGGCATGGCAGCATGCATGCATGTCATGTCTGGGAAAGCGGAAAGGAAAAGGAGAGAGGGAGAAGAAAGAGCACGCGCGCATTTTTGTGTGTGGTTATGGCCACGAATGCTGACTCCGGCAACCAGCCAGGATTACTATCCCGAATTGCAAATCTGCAATGCAGGCTGTCTGGCTGGCCGTGAAAGACCGGCCGCCTTTGATGGGTATCAGGGTATGGCCGTGCTGATGACCAACTTGCTCGGGGCACCGAAGAGAATTGGCTCCACTCGTTAAGCTTTCTATTGCTGAAAAAACACTGGCTTAACACTACTACAGAATATACCATCATTGTTGGTCCATTCATGCAGTTTACTTTGAAACCAACGGTGATAATATATTTTTTTCCGACCACGCCGAAGCGCGTTTTTCATTAAGAAGAGTTTCAAATAACAACTTGGAGACGGTAATCCAAGGTTATTGGACTCCAACGAACAACGAGCACCATAAAGCGATTACATAGCAACTAATTTGCGACTAAAACACACGAAGCAGCCGGGAAGCCTCACATCCTGGCCACGAGTGAGTGGAGGCACCTGAACCCGGCCGTGCACCAGGCTTCCACCTCGTCCTGCACCAATAACGCGAGCTGCTGAGCCGTGGTTATCGAGCTGCTGAAGGTTTTTGCATTACGCTCCTTCCAAAGCGCCCAGCCGATGAGGAAGAAGAATGAGTCAAAGCCACGACGCTGCTGCTCAGGGATGAGCTTCCTGTTTTTTAACCACCAATGCAAGGGCGGTTCCTGGCTAGGTACAATGGAGTCTTGCAGGTGCAGCTTGTACAGCCAAATGTGCCAAACCACACGGCTGAAGGAGCATCCAAGAAGAATGTGGTCCATCGTTTCCACTTCTTGATCACATAGAACACAAGTACTGGAATGTTGTAGGCCGTGCCGAAATCGACGCTCGGCCGTCCAACACCTGTCATGCATGACCAGCCAGAAGAAGAAGCGCACTCGCGGCGGCGCACCGGTCTTCCAGATCTGTCTTGCGCCCAGCGGAGTGGAGCAACCGAGGAACATGGCGCCGTACGCCGAGGCCACCGAGTAAGCCTGATCCTCAGAGAACTTCCAAGTGATAGTGTCTGGGTTTGGCGTGAGTTGTACCCCCTCAATGAGGTCGCAGAGCTTACCAAACTCAATTAGCAGCTGTACTGTTGTCGGTGCTGTAATGTGCTGTACCCATGCGTCATCAATGATAGCCTCAGCTACTGTCGCCCTTCTCTTTCGCGACGTAACCGCAGCAAAAAACAGTCGGTGCAATGTCCTGAAGACAGGAGCCCTGCAGCCAGCGGTCCGTCCAGAAAAGGGTCGATCTCCCGTCGCCCACGGTGAAAACCGTTGCTGCCTGGAACAGAGCAAGCGCAGCTGTGTCCTTGGTGTTTGTAGCTATCCCTGCGACGCGTTCCTTCCAAAGCCACCGCATCCGCAAAGCGACACCGGCCCTGGTCAGATCCGCAATGCCTAGGCCGCCCAGCTCCTTGGGATGACAGACAATTGTCCAGGCCATCTTGCAGCGACCGCCAGCCACCGAGTCGGAGCCTGCCCAGATAAAAGCTCGTCGAAGCTTGTCGATACATCCAATTGCCCAAGGCGAGAGACAGAGTGCGATGGAGGTATGGATCGGAATTGCTGATAGCGTTGCCTGGACAAGAGCAGAGCGTCCAGCAGTATTTAGCAAATTTCCTTTCCAACCCGGAATCCTTGCTGCGACCTTATCAAGCAGTGGTTGTTCGTCCACGCACTTCAGCTTGCGAACCGAGAGCGGAATACCCAAGTAGCGGCAAGGGAAATCCTGAATGGCGCAGGCCAGGATGTCCTGAATGCGTAGTATTTCCTGACCAGAGCAATGAATAGGCGTGGCGACACTTTTCTGCAGGTTGGAGAACAGTCCCGAGGCAAGGCCGAAGATGTTGAGCGTAGCCATGACCACCCTTAGGTCATTCTCTGTGGGCTTGATGAATAGCAAGAGGTCATCAGCGTAGAGACTTACGCGAGAAGCAGCAATACCACTGATGGGCGACAAGTGGCCCCGCGTCTCCACCCAGACCAGTAGGCGGTTGAGGACCTCCATGACAAATACGAACAGCAGTGGCGACAATGGGTCCCCTTGGTGGAGTCACCTGGCATGGCAAATACGTCTGCCTGGATGACCATTGAGCAGTATTCTGGTACTGGCCGTAGACAGAATGGTAGATATCCAATTTCTCCATCTTTGGCCAAATCCCATGTGCTGTAGGATCTCAAGGAGGAAGGACCATGCAACTGTATCGAAAGCCTTTGCAATGTCGACTTTCAGCATGACACAAGCTGCTTTCTTGACGTGCATAGCCTTGCATGTGAGTTGGACGTTCCTGAAGTTATCATGAATGCTTCTCCCTTGATAAAGGCACTTTGATTTTGTAGGACAAGGTGATCTGCCACCACAGCTACCCGACGTGCCAAGCACTTAGTGATGATCTTGCTGAAACTGTGTATGAGGCTAATGGGCCGGTAGTCTCCGATTCCAGACGGGTTGGGCCGCTTCTTTAACAGGACCATATACGCGCCATTTAAGTGATGGAAGCTTCTGAAGTCGAGTGACCAGAACGCGTTGATGGCGTGCATAATGTCGGTTTTGATAATGTCCCAAGTCGACTTATAGAACGCGGCCGTAAATCCATCCGGCCCCGGCGCTTTGTCATTTGGCAGCTCTCTGATGGTGGGCCAAACCTCATCTTCAGTGAAAAGAACCTCCAGGGCGTCCAAGTCCACGGACGGCAGCCCAATAGCCTCGAAGGCAATCCTTCTGGTCCGTTCAAAATTAACGCCCAGAATGGTATTATAATGGTTGTACAGAGCATCTTCCATCTCACGATCATTTATAAGCTGTGACCCATCTGAAATAATTGAGTCGATATGGTTGTGCCTGTTGCGATGACATGCTTGAAGGTGGTAAAATTTTGTATTTGCGTCTCCTTCTGCTAGAAAGAGGATTCTGGAGCGTTGTCGCGCAATGGTGCGGGACAACGAAGCTAGGCCAAGCACCTGACGTTTGAGGGCACAGTGTAAGTTGAACTCCCAGGAGTCTAACAGCCTTCTCTCTTGCTCACCATGAAGGCATAAGATAACCTCCCTCGCCATCGCAAGCTGCATTCTGATATTACTGAGCTTGGAATTGCTCCAGCTACGTAGAGCCTTGGCCACATTACGGAGTTTGTGGTCCAGGATGCGGAAAGGATCAGCGCCGATCGGGGTAGACGCCCATGCGGCAGCGACGACCTCCATGTACCCCGGTAGCTTGATCCAATACGGCT